CCCCCCCCCCCCCCCCCAACCCCTGCTCAAGCGTTCCGGGCCCAGGTTTTAGTGGTCTGGAGTTTAGGGTTTTTAGGGTTTTTCTTCAGGGCCCCTGCTGAGGAATGCCATATTCGCAGGCCAAGTCAGACATCATCAGGCCGGAAACTGTTATCACGGGGTTTACTGCACTGACGTCTACGGCACCCTCGGTTTTTACACCATAAAGAGGGGATCGTTAGTATCAAGACCGACCCTGACCCTTCAAGATTGAGCCCCTCTGCACGAAAACCATAGTAACAAAAAACATACAAGCACTATGGAATCTAGACGCCAATGAAATCATACTCAATCCTCCGTGCAGAGCTTTGCTTTGGTGTGTTTGGGGTTCAGGGCGTTGACTGCCTTGGCATGGCGCTTATCTTGATGGGTTCTGTCGAGTTCTGCGGCAGAAGAACACACCCGATTCCACTGGAGGACGAAGTGTTGGTTGGAGGAAGTGGCAGTGCGGCTGAGGTGTGTCTCACACCTGCAAGACATTGTGGGCAGGTATGCGCTGCTGTACCATCACGGTGGCATTTACATGGACACAGACTTCCTTGTCGTCCAGGACACCGGATTTTCCGATGTTTCGTCAACTGCCTTCTGTTTGCTCAACTACCTGCATGGCACATTGGGTATAAGTGTTCATAGGTGAGTGCAACCAAGTCCAAAACCTTAAACACCATCTAGACATACATAAACTTGCAGCACCTATGCCCACATGTGCTCACGCTCACTTACGTTAGTGCTTGATCACCCCTAAGACCTACACCCTAAACCCCATAGTACCCCTTAAAGGGAACCTAGTACCCTTTAAAAGGAACCCTATAGCAACCCTTACAGGGAACCCATTACAGAGCCCTATTGCACGGCTTATCAGGATGATAACCTACAAATCATGGAAGTTGCACGCATATATTCCGTGACACCAGGTTTTATATCTGACTGGTTTTCAAAGAAATCTGTTTAGGGGTTTGAGTTTAGGGGTACAGGGTTTAGGGTTAGGGTATCTTTCGCAACAAATACTGTTTATGATTTTGCTGCAACACGATTCAGAGACCGGGGGTGCAACCCGAAACCCAAAACCCCCACTCGGCAGTAATTGCAGCAGACTGTATTGATCGCTGCTCCTTTTCCCAGATCTCATGTGCATTCATGAGTGTGCCAATCTCGTGAACATCTTGCGCCTGTAAATCATGGGAGCTCCGTAGTTTGACAAAATGCATGTCAGATCCGTTTTTGGGATCCATTGTAGCTTGTGGTGCTTCAGGCCCACCTTTGCGCGACGCTTGTTGCTCCCGAACTCCTTCTGGCTTGCTTAGTTCCCCAATACCCAGCCTTAAAAGCGCTTTGGGTTCTTATAAATTAGTAGCAGCATGAAAGCTTAACCTTGTATTTCCCTGGCTTATTGGGGAAGTAAGCTTGTCCGTGGTTTTGGGTCCAAGATGTGGGGTTCAAGGTATCGGGCCTAGGGTTGGTGTTTGGGGTTTAAGAGTTTAGAGTTTAGGGCTCAAGGTTTAGAGTTTAGGGGTTTAGGGTTTAGGGTTTCGGTTTAGGGTTTAGGGCTCAAGGTTCAGAGTTTCGAGTGTTTAGTTCTTTGCTAGACCGCCTGCGGGCATAAATTTTAGGCTACTCGTGCACAAGACTCTGAGAAGACGAGGTTCTGAATCAGATAAACCCTAAATCCCTAAAACCTAAATATCCCTACATAAACCCTAAACCCCCCCAAAAACCAAAATCTAAAACACCCTAGAACTGTTAACCCATAATAGACGAAGGGGTCGCTGTCATCGAGCCAGAGACTTGCCTAAAGAACCACAGCTTTCCTGCCTGGTGTTGCGTGTAGGACCTTGCGGTTTAGCCATGTCAGGGATTGAAGCTATATGAAAGCTTCCATCCTCGTCTTGCACGGGAGCCAGAAAGTTGGAATAATATTCTCCTCATTCCCTGCAGGTAAATGTAACGTATAAGGCATCCTAGCACTAGTCATTGTTATCCCCTGTTCCAACTTTCTATATCGGGTTCACTGCATTCTTCGTCCGGGCCTAGAGCCCGACCCTGAGCCAAGCAAGAGTAGGTCGTGGCAACGTAAGGTGGGAACTGAGACGTCCACCCGCTTAAGCAGAGGACCTGGATGAAGTTATCGATCTGGCGCAGTCCTATGACCTCGTCTCCTACATGGATGTGGCCTGTCCCAAATCCTAGTTTGAATGGGTTTGGGGCTGTATAGGTCCAGGTACAGGTGTACGGTCCTCGGGTTCAGGCAAGAAAGAGAACGAGCGAGAGACCGAGAGAGCGCGAGAGATTGTCTCAGTTCGGACATCAGGCTATTCTCCTCTCCAAGCATAATAGAGGTGCCTTAATAATTAGACCAGGGTTTGGGACATATTATACTAGGAATTACAATAAGAAAGACCCCCAAACCCTATTCTAATTATTAAGGCCCCTACATTATCGGGTTACTTCCCCTACGAAAGTCACATCGCACAGACCGCTAAACAAGGAACCCCACCCCCCGAACCACATATCTTCCTCGTTTCCACTTTTCTTTTTTTCTTTGGCCCGTAGCCAAAACAAAAATACTACACAAACCGTAGGGGTTTAGGACGGTTTAGAAGTTTACGGTTTAGGGTTAGGGGCCGAATGCCTGAACTTTAAGCACGACCCCAGAACCCTTAGCCCCTAAAGCCCCTGAAGCCCCCAACCCCCTAGACACTAAATCTCCAAAACCTGAAGCCATTCTAACCCTAAACACCTTAAACCCCCGAAGCCATAAGCCCTAAACCCTAAACCATGAGGGAAAAAGCCATAAGCCCGACGTGAATCAAAGCAAAGATCCAGGAGGGCTCGGGGAGCTTGGAGAAGGGCAGCTTGGCCGGGGGGTTCGGGGTTTAGGGTTTTGGGGGTTTTGGGGTTTTAGGGTGTAGGGTTTGGG